TAGAAGTAATTTGATGATTTTTCCGTCAAAAAAAAAGACTTCCTAATCATGTTTTTCCTCAGCGTACGACAAAAAGTCACATAGGTGCTTGTCAGGTTTCGAACATCAGGTACAACCTCATGCATGAGAAGCGGGCGCCTTAACCTCTAATACGTATCTTACTTATAACTTGTTACAATCCTATGCGGCAATGTTGATAAGCCAGTTAGAGATTATCAATTGAATTGACGTACTTACGGTACTAAACAGTTTTGAAAAGATTACATAGCATGCAATACAAAACGTTCGCTTTTAACACCAGTCAAGGCCAAGTATAATAGCTGAACAGATTTACGATTGTGCAAAAGGAGCTTAACGCCAGATTATCTTACTAGACTCAATGTTATATTCCTTCGTCTCATGTTGCCTCTTTTACGCCGTGACAATTATTATGTCTGGAATATAATTTACAGAGATGTAGAGATAAGTAAAGTGCTTTGTAGATGAAAAAGCGCGGGAATTTATCGAGCTGTCAATGTCATGTTTTTTTTTGCATTCTCTACAATGATTCTCTATATTTGAACGAACCTCCTTTTTGTGTGAGTGCCCTATTTGTGTCTTATTGAAGATGTTATTAGGTACTGTTGCAATCTTAACCTTTCAATTGTTGTAATTAGAGACCTTAAATAGAAGAATAAAGGGTATGCGAACGCCGGCGGTCGCTTGGATATTGGTAAATTACCATACTTAATTAATATTATTATTATATCCTGAAATATATAATTAATTATGTCCATTATAGTCCATTCCATACACGTCTAGGAATGTGACATTTGACTCATAAGCATCTTTATAATACAAGGACAGTTATTAGCTATTAATAAAAATTGACCTAGACAGTAGTAATATTGCCTAAATCGATAAAAAATCAAAACTGTTTGGTTATGCAACACTTAATAAGTAATATCGTTATTTCGTCATTGAATATTTTTTACCGAATTACAGTTCAACTAATTTAATACTTATAATTTCTTGCCACAAACAAAAAATAATTTCTATTTTTAAATATATTAAATTCAACTTGTTTTATACAGTGATACCTGTACTCTATTAAAAATTTACGCTTGTCAAATATGTGTTCTTGATTATGATTTATTGTTTTACAGTTCAATCATCAGGAATTAATTGTGTCAATTAATTTCAAATTTGATTAAAAAAGTGATCAATTTAGATTGATACAATATACTTTATAATTTAATTTAATAAAAGGATCACAATGGTATCATTGATGTTTGTATAGCGATGATTCGATGAATCAGTTTTGGTATTTTAAAGCGTATTTTTTACCTCGTTATGTTTTACGAGTACATCAAAGGCTACATTTTATGTCATCGCCAACATCACATAAATGTCAAGGACTAAGTCTTCTAGAACATTCGATATTAGTATGATTGGAATTTACAATAAAATTTAGGTATCACACGCGAAACTAAATTTGCCGAGAATATTGAAGGTGAACTAGTGTATTATAATATTTTCCCAATTAATTAATAAAGTACATACCTATACTGAATTTTATGGTAAAAAGTAGATAAGTGTTCTTCTTCTGTCTCGTTGATTAAATTAAGTACTAAATATTCTTTAAGGTTCCGTGGTCGGAAACTCAATCCGAATCTGATTGGTTGGCCATACTACCTACTTAAATATAACGTATTTATTATCTGTATAGTGGTGACTTTGGATGTCAATTTAAAATATTTTTAGACACTATTGTACATAAACCGTAGGATGTTTATTTAACCGTTTTTATCTTTGCTTTATTGTTTTTAAAATAAACCTACGGACCCCTTAATATCATTCAAAAATTAATGTAGAAAAATAAGAAAAACTAACTAAACAAAATGTCATCAAGTTTTTTTCTATAAAACGGTGTGACACACGGCAAGTCCTTGATCGCTCCTTTTTTGAAGGAAAAAACTAAACATAGTAACTCGTTCACCTTTAGAATTACGCCATCTCTCAGTGGCGTCCTTAATAATAGCTTTCCGGTTCTAATTTCGAATGCTTTTGATGCTATCTTCGTACATTATGCTGTCACCACTAACTTAACAAACGAATGTTTACGAACGGCTTTATTACAAGGTATTATAGTTCAAATTGTTTATTGTATTAGTGAAATATAAAAGTATGAGTCAGAATACTTGCAATGACAGTGATATGCTACTAGTGACCTTAGCACCTGATCGGTTGAATGCACGAAGCAGTTAACATTGTCATAACCACACAACACATGTACCTATTATTAGATAAGATCAGGCCTTTTGTTTTTTTTGTCGACGCGACACATTTGTATGAGATTGAGAAAGTAAGTGAATAGTCTTTGTATGCACTATGATTTATAACGGTGTGTAATAAAGAACTTATTCATTTCTACTTATACCCATACATTACATTATACGTACTGCTGCAAATCATTAAGTACTGGTATTGGAAAAGAGTTTAATAAATTATAGGCTCAACTACAATGACTACTAATAATACTATTACTACTGTAATACTACGTAAAGAATGCGAATATTTTTTTATAGAAAAAAAACTACTATTTTTAAATCAATTTTTTTTAAATCAAATTCTATTCTATTTTATTCTATTCTATTTTAAATCAAAACGATAAAAACAACAGAAAAAGTTCGTCTTAAACCATTATTTTTAAAATAATTTTCAGTCTTTGTAATAAAAATTCTCGGCTCACTCTTTTTACACAAATTATAGAATTGACTGTCTATGTTTAAGTATAGTGACCATGGATCACGCATCATATGATATCTCATAAATTAATACAACACATCCGAAATCGATTTAAATGTTAATGCAACAACAAATCGATATAGTCGTCATCATAATCGAATGAGGCCTGACCCTAGTGTTAATCTAGTGAATGTTAAACCGAATACCTAGACGCTAGCGATTGGCACAGTGGCTGAGCAAATGGCTATTATAAACGCATCCACGACATAGGAGAAAATCAGAAAAACTTTTTTTTAAAGAAAAATAGGTCAGGGAAATGTTGAGGTCTTTGCTTTTGATATTATTAAACTTAGTTTTCCTGAAACAACAGTTCCCTCGTTAATTTGAACGATTATATACAAGACCGATTTGAACATTGTTTTTTTCTAATCACATGGCTCCGAATCGTAGCAGGCAAAAGAACGAGGTGGTTTTTAGTCAGTAATAGTCTGATATTACCTCTCACCCAGCCAAAGCTGGATGATTTGAAGACTTCCCTCCTCCCTCCCCAAAATGTTACCTTTTCGAGAAAGAACAAAATGTATGAGCATAACCTAATGATTTCAAAAGAAAACGCTAGTAATATATATGTCTATGGCTTAACCATAAAGAAGTATTAGCAATGGCTAATACTTCTTTATGGTTCAAATTCCACAAATATCATATCTAGGTAATGACCTAGATATGATATTTGTGGAATTTGAACAGTTTAATTTAATTATTTCAGTTCTTTGACACAATAGGGTAACTAACAAAACATCCATAATAAAAGTAGGTTCCTTAATATGTAATGGGTTTTATGTAAAATATGTTTTGTATATGTAAATGCAACTACTCGCGTCCAATATTGAGCAAAAATTATGCGCGATCCGAAATTTATGAACATAATTCGCTTCTGATGTCATTATAACCGCAGGGACATTCGAAATTGTATTATCTACCTACATACCGTTTAAGTATGTCGACAATTTAAAATGAAATAGATTTACATGTCATGCAATGCAATATGGATGAAGTGTTATAAAACGTAATGAAAAAAAATAAAATAAAATTAATAACTAAACCCCAGATGAAACAGAAATGTAATTCACATTTTGTTTTGTTCATCAAACCACAAGCGAACGCCGGCGTTCGTTCATATATTGTCTTACTCATACTATTGTGTCTAATATTTTATAGTAACTGCAATTGAAAGTTTAATGACATTAGTCCTATTAAAGTATTTAAAAGATAAAAACAAGATGGCACATTTATGACAATAGATGTAAAATTCCTAAAAGGCTTTAAAACTGAGCAATGATAAAAGTCCTCCATAGAAAATTTGAATTGCTATTCACCCAAAATGCAAGTGTAAAAGGACGTAAATGCATAAACTAGGTATTATGTGGGTAATAAGAGAGGAAATCCGGCCGGGTCGCGGGTAGCTTGCCCCCAATCCGTTATCTCACTCGGACATTGGCGCGAAGCCAGCCAGGAATCTGCTGCCATTGTGTACACAGTAATTATTATACGTTACACAACTAAACTACGTAAAACACAGAACAAATGTAACAAAACCACGAAAAGACCAAGTAATATTTAAATCAATATAATAAACTAAGAATAAATAAATAAATTAGTACTACACAAAGTAATATTCTGTCCCAAGTTCTAGGGAATCCTTGGCAAAATCTCAAAAAGATTTCAAATAACCAAATATCAGATAGACTGGCTGACTAAACACCAATCCTTTGCATTTAATAAGGATTCTCTAATTTCAAACTGAAAATTCTTCTTCGTTCTTTTACTTAACTGCAATGATTTTGCGAAATAAAGTCTATTAGGTATATAAGTATAGTGTTGACAGGTCGGACGATTAGGCGGACAAGCGGGGCGCGTGAACGTACACGCCACGTCGCCTCCCAACTTGCCGACGAGGGCGTAAAGCAATTTGCGCATTACTCCAATCTGGCCCGCTGCCAACACCACTACGTGTCCCAACTTTTGACTATCCTACTATTTATTGCTAACGTTCTCTTCCAGCTCAGCTTTGCGGATAGCGCAAATACGATCCGCTTAAATACAATGTTTTCTTAATTTTGGCGACTGACCTATTTGCAACTCAATAAGGTTTTAATGCATTTTCCTGGCTGAATAACAAAGAAAAACTACATCATTGCCATTTTGACGTTATGGACAAGACGTCGTATTTATTTATGAGTAAAAGAACAAAGCTAAAATTATCATTCAGAGCAATGGATAAAAACTCAAGTACCGACAGCAACATATCCCTGGACAGCTTGGAAACTCAATTCAAACGAAAAAAATCTGTAAAAGGTAGAATAACTGATGAAGATGTCGATACAATACTGGTGCCATTTTATGAAAAAGATGTACTTATAAAGGTACCAAAAGATCAGAAACGAAAACAAAATAATACAGGTAACAGATATCTTAGAGCTAATGAGAAATTAAAGAAAGAACCGTCGCAAACAAGCTATTTGGTAAATAGAGAAAAAGAAACGAAACATAAGCGAACCACCTACCTAGAAATGTTTCGTAAGCAGTTCTCACCAAATCATATTGACAAAAAGAAAGATAAAAGTGAAATACGTTCATTATCACCAGAATTTGGTGATACGGAGAGGGAGAGTATTGGCGACGACGCTAATAATCCTATACCAGAGTTCTACAACACTGAGTCTTATAATGAAATGTATTACGAAAAGCTTTTGTGTCGTGATTTGGAGAACTATAGAGATAATTCTTTTGAAGACCAAGAAGAAGAACTGCGTTTTACGGACGACATGGTGTGCAAACCAGAGGATATATGTGATGATGGTCCTGATAATCTTAAGAGTGTTTCAGAGGTCACAAATCCACGTCGTAATACAAGACGAGCAACCATAGAACCCATGACTAATGTTAAACTTGGAGGATTAGGCCCTGATTTAGAACAAATAAGGCCAAGGCTTGAAAGAGCTAGAAGCTTACAAAGGTATTCAGAGAAAGTAAGAATGGAAAATCGATTGAAGATTTATAAAAAAACGTGTCAAACCCAACCTGAAAAGAAAGTTGAAAGAGAAACATCTGCCAAACAAAAGGAGTCACGAAAAGAACCAGCAAAAAAAGAACAGCAAGAAGATGTTAGCCTCTCTTATCTGGTGAATAAATCTATAAACGAAAAGGGCAACAAACCAAAAAGGAATCCATATTTTAAATCAAAATCAGCTGATGTGCAGAGGATTAGGGAGAGAAATGCCGAAAAGGAAAAGCTACAGAAAGAGTTGACCGCGAAGAAAAAAGAGATGGTGGATCAGAAACTTGATAGTAAACAAAAAGTGGAAATTAAACCCGACAAAGGTAAACTAAAGCAAAAATCTAGTTCCAGAAATATGGGCATCAATACTGAGTCTTCGTCAGAAGTTTCACCAGTACAAATAAGTTTCATGGTCAACGTTGGGGGTGTTCGTCAGTCAAGTGCTTTGCAGTCTCTCGAGGAAAAGCATCGAATGTACCAAGAACAAGTTAAAGCCTTCATGGAACATAATGACGTTTAATGACCTTTCTATGTTATGTTTTGATAGAATCAACAGTATTATAACAAGTAAATTTTAAATAAATTTTAGCATTTTAATTATGTGGTATCACTTTACAGAATTTGGATTCTAAAACCATGTTATAATTTTTTCTTTTTCAGTTGAGTTTTTTTATTTTATATGCTCATCTACAACTGCATTGTGCACACAAGTTATGTATTTTGATTAAAGATTTGATGAATTCAATATAAACACCAGTTAGAGAAGGTTTGAGCATTAATCGCCATGCTTGCTCAAAGTGGATTGGTAATTTCAAACTTATGTTAAGAAGTCTAGGTTCCTCACGATGTTTTCATTCACCGTTTGCAAGTGGTGTCTCAATAGACTCAGAAAGTACACTAATCTTAAAAAAGGCACATTGGTACTTGCAAAGTGTCAAGCCAAAGCTGGTACTTGCAAAGTGTCAAGCCAAAGCTCAAGGCCACTCCAGCGACCATACACCTAGATCAACTCTCTCTTGAATAATTCCTGTCATATAATTAAGTCAGGTGTTTTTCTTAATTGACGTACAGAATAGACATGTTCACACATTTTGGAACTAAGATTAGATCATGTTGGTGAGATTGACGGATTGAATGACGTGAAACAAGAGAAAGCAGGTAGACATGCCGGAGACAAGCGCTGTGTTATCTCATCAAATAATTATATCAATAAAAATATACACTTGGTCGAGTTTTTTAAGTAATTAATGTTTTGATTGCATTTAGCTTTATTGTAGGTTGATTCCTAACTAACCGATATGCTGCATTATATAAAATATTTAAGGTCAGATAATTTTTATTTGTACATTGAAAATCTTTTTCACGTGAATCAACTTAGGGCTTATTTTTCAATGGTTATATAAAAGTTGCCTGAGGAATAATTATGATGCTGTCGCGTCAGAATGTTTGTATAAGACAGCGACAGCAACATTTTTATTCTTCAGATAACATTAATCTGACGATTGTAAAATCGGCCCTTAGAAAAGAAAAGTCCCGTTGTGAGGTTTTCTTTTTTTTTCAATAAATTTTGTATGTCTCCCAATATAGTTACAATTCAAAAAGTAGTTCAATTCTTAACTTACTATTTTAAATTTAGGTGGGATTAGATAACATTCTAAAAGTAACACTTACTTAGACTAGAGTATCAATGAACAAACAAAACATTTTACAGTAGCATATGTTGGCAAACCAGCAGTAGGAGGACCTGATGGTATTATAAGCGCTGCCGATGTACACTCTCAATACTAAAGAAGTTACTACAAGTGCGTTCGAGATTTAAGGATGGAAGATTTGAGGGTTGAGGGAGAATTGGCATCCAGTAACCTCACTAACACGACGAAACACAACGTATAAGTTTTGCTTCACGCTGGAATTCTGTGAGGCCGTGGATCGCTCCTTTCGAGCCGGCCCATTTGTGCCGAACCAATGGCCTATTTGTGCCCACATTACATTACAAATTATTTTATTAATAACCATCGTAACTCGTCATATTACACTATTCTTACAACTCTACCTATTACTCATATCCATGACCGTCCTATCACAAGTTTTAATTACAAATTATATCATAATTGAGATACCGGACGCGAAAATGTGTACCGCCACTTCAAAATGATGCGTGAAATTCCGGTTCGTTGGTGGAGAAAGTGGCATGCGTGCTTTGGGGGGCTCGACGCGACGAAGTTGGACTTCTTGTTTCTTATACGGTGATACCACGTGAGTTATTCAAGTCTTTTATTATTAATTTTTTGTAAGGTTTTTTGTTTCGTCGTGTTTACCGAGACGTTTGCCGAGTAACAAGAGGTTGTGTACTTCGGTATATGGTAAAACGGAGTTACATATTGTAACTCCATTTTCGAAAACTGAATGGTACATTGCGTAGGTTCATTCTTAGTTACCTACAAGATTAAAGGGATACGCATCATCAGCATACATATAAGTGTCCATTGGTGTGCAAAGGCGTCTTATACGGGGAAGATTTTAGCATTAACCACCACGCTTGCTCAAGACGGGTTGGCGATTTAAAACTTATATAATTTGAAATTACAAGTCCAGGTTTCCTCACGATCTTCACTGTTAGTCAGTGGTGTCTAAATAGTCTTGCAGAAAACATAATATACCTATAGGGAAATCAGTACAAATAACTAAGAAAAATGCCATATTGGTGCTTGCAAGGTTTCGTTTTACTCAATACTGTAAGATGCTTGAGTAAGTTGTTGAAATAGCATTTTGTACAGGCTTGTTAATATGCGCAAGAGTGGAAGTATGCATTATTGTAATTAGATTGGTGTAACTAAACTGTCACTTGTAGGTGACAATTCTAACAAGTACAATACCGCCAACGTATCTTGGCGAGTCTGAAGTTAGCCGATTAGCTGCGCAGTACACAATTTTGTTCTTAAAAGATCCATTGCGCAGACAAACGGCTAACTTCAGACGCGCCAAGATACGTCGGCCGTACTGTATGTACTACTAATTTGTAGAAAACAATTTGTCCTTATTATATGTATATATTGATTGGACTGTTGCCGCGGTGGCTGGATAACTGGCTCCTGTACCGTGGGTTCAGCCTGGCAACGCACGTGTAGTAACTACATTGGTATAACGAGTATCCATGAACGGCACCGATTGCTTACCACCAGGTAATGCGTCTGCTCGTTGTCTGACATATGACACAAATATTAAGAAAATCCTATTGAGATATATACATATGTACTTATGCATGGAACATTTAAAAGCTAAAAACATCAACATTTCAATAGAATAGAATTTCTTTCAACAACAACTATAATCTAGATTAAAAACCGAAGAAATCTCATTAACTGAAGAGCTTACCTTCCACCTCGGCACCTCGACCACAATCACTGGCATTACTAAAAGCGATTCATTCTGCAATCCTTTTACAACCCTCAGATTAAACTTACAATATCTAGGTCAAAATACACTGGTTGCAAGCAACTTTTACCGTCCTTGGAACTCTGATACATTTCAGATCGATTAAAATTAACCCAATTATGCTCCACATATGCACAAACCCGTTCTAGGTCATTATCATTGTATTTGCTGTTCATATCTTAAAATTTTACGATTATTACGATTGCAATTAATATTTCAGCGTTAATTATTCTGTATCACAACAATATATAAATCAAACTTATACGTTTAATAGTGTTGTAGTGGCCCACAGGTTAAGGCGTCCGCTTCTCATGCATTAGGTCGCGTGTTTGAAACCTGGCAAGTACCAATGTGACTTTTATATGTTAGACAGCAATGAAAATGGTAAAACAGAAACATCAACAACACCTGGACGTATAATATCTAATTAATAAAATCGACAATCCGCAATTGGGCAAACGTGGTGATTAATCATCATCAGCCTATAAATGTCCACTGCTGAGCAAAGGCCTCTTCTCATACGGAGAAGGTTAGAGCATTAATCACCACGCTTGCTCAATGCGGGTTGGCGAGTCCAGGTTTCCTCATGATGTTTGCCTTCACCGTATGTCTGTGGTGTCTTAATAATCATAGAAAGTATATATAACTCGGAAAAAGTGACATTGGTACTTGCCAGGTTTCGAACCCACACCCTCATGAATGAGAAGCGGGCGCCTTAACCTCCGGGCCACCACGACATGTGGTGATTAATACTCAAACCTTTTCCGTGTAAGAAGAGGCCTTTGTTCAGCAATGGGCACTTAGGTATAGGCTGATGATATTATAAGCTTGGAGTTTGAATCACGAAACGTGGGCTATTTAGGCTATATGCACACAATATGGACCCGACGACGTTACGAAACACCAGTTAAACAACTATAAAGTACAGAAACAATGAACATGAATTCCGTATCAGACGACAGTGTCTTCGTGTGTACCACGGTCAACCAAAATGGCCGCGGATGTGTGTAACATCCCTTATGCAACGCGACGCTCTGCCGATACGGTTTTTGAATTCTCCATTGTACAGGGAAAGTGGAGCATGTAAATAATGGGAAATTATGCTAATGATTTTTATATTAATGCTCTAATTTATTAACGTTATGCAAACTTCTTCATGATGCTTAGCTTTAAATTATCTACATACGGGCCGTTGACAACGCTGCCTATTCCAAATTCAAAGCAAATATAACTTAATACGTACTTTTTTTTAAATGTAAATTTGAAATCTGGGTTTTTAAGACAAATTAATTCTAATGTTTTTTTTCTAAATGCGAAGATGTGTTAATTACTTTTTTGTCCCCTTACTCCTAAACAGCTGACCGATTTTGATAAAAGCTGGTCCTATTATAAAATTAGATCCGCATGTTAGTAGGTATTGGTAGTTTTTACAAATTAAATAACACATGAACAGGTGCAATGTTAAACAAGAAAAAGAGTATCAATAAAATCATTTAAGAATCTATAAAAAAAGAAATGAAGATCGGACGGACAGCTCTATTCACGAGGGGAATCTATACTTAGGTACTCTACAACATTTTGGTACCAACTTTTAGAAAAGATATATCTATCTAGGTTTCCCGCGGAAATTGAGGCGGGACTGGTGCATGGCGGGAAATAGATCGATTTAGTTCATTGCAGCTAAAGTACATGTGATTTGTAATTACTTGTGGTTGACGCTAACCCGTTCCTAAGTCTAATTGCGCTAATATTGCGTTGATTTGACATCTACGTAATCGTAGTTGTGTCATTCAATGAATAAATTAATCAGTGCCCACATATCTATATGTGCTTTTATGAAATTTGTGATAATAATTGTGGTTGGCTAAGAACTGTTTGCTGGCTGGTTTTGATTTGGATTTTTTGGTAGATAATATTCCTGAACTGAACTCGTATTTCAATTATGAAATTGTCAATAAAATTTAACAATGTTTTTTTATAAAACGAACGCGGGAATTTTATTCCACAAATCTAAGAATAATAATTTCATATAGATAAAATCGTAGAATAATCAAATGAATATTATAAATTATAAATACCACAGAT